CCACTCACCTCAGCCTCCCAAAGCACTGGGATTACAGGCTGAGCCACCAAGCCTGGCCCCAATAAGCCTTTTCATCCCAGAGAGAACTCATAAAGAGCCTTACCCAGACTCAGGGTAGAGAGAAGGAGCCAGGGTGGGCGGGAAACCACATGAAATACTCTAGAGAATGAACCATGCAAACACCGCCCAGCAGCCATGCTCCAGCAGCGGCACGCATGTTAACTGCAAACCCTCCTGTCTCGTCCACCCCGGGCATCCCCCAGGAATTCCTACCAGCCACAGCTGTGTCGCATTGGCTTCAGTTCCTGCACGAGAGGGAGGGGGCGGACTCAGGATTTCTCTCAAAACCATAACCATTCCGGCTTTTCGTGAACTTAGATGAGGAGCCCCCAAAGAGCGTACACAGTTGTGGCTGAACTGCATTGCCTTTCAGTTGCACCCACGGTGCACAAGGAGCGGCAAGATGTGGCCATGACCCACCGGGGGTGACCAGTGAAGGGCATTCGGTCAGTCTTGGGAAGGCAGGGCGAGGACACCCCCACTGTTCAATGACTTCAGGGCTTCACTCTCCCTCCCAAAGTGAATCAGCTTAGAAAAAAAAAATAAGCTCTACCTCTTAAAGACTTCTATTCAGAAATTTAGCTAAGGGCACTGTTAGCTCTTTAAACAATTCAAACAAATTGTTCCCTGCCGAATACAGTGTATGTTTACACAGTAAAAAGGTATCAATCCCGATTTAGCGTATTTTCCTGATGGCGAAAGGTATTTAGTTTGGCAAGATTCTGGAACCTTCTCTCTCGGTGGCTTTCCCAAAGGTGAGGAGTAAAGCCATCTACCTGGGAGACATGAGAAAGATCCCCCAATTAATGTAAATAAAAATGCTTGCACCTGCAGCATATTTGACACTTTATATAATACCTTCACAGAGAATACCTACTCTGATCTTCTTAAACACCCTGCCGTGAAGAAGCAAGAGTCCCATTCAACAGATGAAGTAATTGAGAGGTGAAGTCACTCAACCCAAGTCACACAGCTAGAAAGAAACCGAGCTCGGGGCTAAAAGGCAAAACCGTCTGTGCCCCAAGCTACCCTTTCCCAACAAGAAAGGAAACGGAACTTCACGGTACCTTTCCGCATCCTGGTCTGCGCCCTGCTGCTTGCTCTCGAAGGCGTTGAAGCTGCTCATGTCCACGTAGCCATCGTTTTCATTTGCCGTGGACAGGGCCCTGCTCTGATCCTCAAACAGCTTTGTGAACGTGCCCGCCCTGGCGGGCCTCCGGGGCGGGATCTGGATATTTTCATAGTCCGAGTTCACGGCCGGGATGTTCTCGTAGTCCGAAGTGTCGGCATTGGGGAACGAGATGGACCGCGGCTTGGTCAGCGGCAAGGGCAGAAAGGGTGGCCGGGAGCGGTCCTCGAAGGACTCCACCCTGGACACCGTCCTGCTGAAGGGGACGCCTTTCCTCTTGCCATCTCTGTAGAAGATGAGGGAGGAGGGGGAGTCAGACGCCCGGAGCTTCCCGGTCCGAGACTTCAGCTGAGGGGAGTTGCTGAGGCTTCTGCGGTCCAGGTCCAGGAACCGGGAAGGCCCGTGGTAGCTGGACTCCGAAGAGGACCTGGAGGAAGACACGTTCACGTCCACATGCACTTTGCTCTCGGTCTTCTTCTTGAATGTCAGTGCCAGGAAGCGCTTGAAGGACGACTTCTTCTTCTTGGTGTGCTTGTCCGGGGAGTCGCTGTCCACCAGGAGCGAGGGAGAGCTCTTGGTGATGGGCTTCTTGGTGATGCAGGCCAGGTCAAAAGGCGGAGGGATGTCGACCACGGAGGACGGCGTCGAGGTGCCACTGGACGGAAGGTGGTTTCTCTGGGAGAAGCTCCCGGAGGAGCCAATCACGCAGGCCAGGGAGAGCTCGTCCTCCTTCCTCTTTATCCTGTGGTCGTCCGGCCCGGGCCCCTCTGACTCCCGGTACGCAGAGACTGGGATCTCTCGGCTCTCCATGGAGAACGACCGCGGGTATAAAGTGAAGGCTCTGGGCTTGGCTGGCAAGGCCCTGCCGGCGTCCAGGGGCCTCCCCTCCAGCGACAAAACCGTCTTTCTCGCCTCCTCGGCGGCACCTCCAATGCCCAGGGCTGACAGGCCTGCCTCTGGTCCGGCTTCTTCGGGGACAGTTTCTGGGACATAGCCAGCCACCTTCCCAGAGTGTGGCCGGGCCCTGGCGATGACGCTCCTCCTGTCAACGGGGACCGGGCTGCCCTCGGCCTCGGAGCTCGCTTCTTCCTTCGTGCCGTCACCGCTCAGTGCATCTGCCGCTGCCTGGGTCTCGGGCGGCCCTTCTTCCCCGGGGCCAGCCCAGCATGCTGGGCCGACTCCCATCACGTAGGGGTTGGTGAGTGCGTCGTCCGCAGCCTCCTCCTCCTCCGGCAGGACCACCACGTCAGGGATGGACGGACCCTCGGCAGCTCCATCCCGCAGGGAGTCCTGCGGGCCGCACAACCCTCTGGCCCCAGGGTCCTCCTCCACACCTGCTCCTGACCTGGGTTCCTGCTCGGAGCACGCGGCTGACTCTGAGCAAGGAGGGCAGCTTTCACTACAGAAGGAGGTGCTCTCGGTCGGGAAGAACTCGTAGGGGCTTCCCGCGAGTGACGTCACGAAGCCGTCGACGCAGTCGTTCTCAAAAGGAATGATGTGGCAGCTCTCCTCGGCAGTGTCATCCTGCATGGGGCCCTCGTCTTCTCGGGGGCCTTCTTCCGCCTCCTGGGTGGCTGTGGCCACTTCTGCTTGGTGGGTTTGTTCACTGAGGCCAGGTGGCTTGCCCTGGCCAACCTGGTCCCTGGCCCCCATGCTGCCTGCACACCCCTGCTCGGAGATCTCGGGGTTGTCGACGGCCGCCTCTGTCTCCTGGTCCCCCACGGGGTCTTCATCCACTGGGGGCTCCTCAGTCTCGTGTCGCGTGCCCTCGACAAGCCTGTCAGGATCCACACCCCCATCTGCTCCCCCGGGTTCTGCACTGGCACAGACTTCCTCGCCACCCTCCTCTGCCTCGCAGGGGGCGTCGGGGAGCCCGGGGTCCTCTCTGGGGACTGCTGGGTCCTCTAAGCCGATGGGCGTTAGGATGACCCCGCTCTGGAAGACCTCCTCTCCATCCCAAGGCTCCCCGTCCTCCGGGCTGTACACGTCGTGGTCCTTCACCAGCTTCTCTCCCTCTGCACCTGTGGATGCCTGCTCCCCTGCCTCTGGGTCGTTGTCGCCGCCCCCCTCCCCGTTTTCGGGAGCGTGGCCTGCGCCTTTCTCAGCCTCCCTGCTCGGCCCTCCTTCCGCCGGGGAAGCCGGGGCTGCCGAGTCCTCGCCGGCTCCCGTCCCCTCCATGCTGCATGCCTCACCTCCGTCCTCACGGTCCTCTTCCTCCTCCCCAGAGGCATCCAGAGGCACCATGGCAGCACTCTCTGCACAGCCCCTGTGCTCGGGCTCGTCCTCTGTCTGCAGAGCCTGGGGGACCACGATGTACTCCTCGTCCGTCTCTGACTCCGAGCACTCCGGGTTAGAGCGGTGCCCTTCGTCAAGGCCCCTGTCTGCGCAGGGCAGCCTCCCGTTGCTGCATTTGTTCAGGCTGTTGTTCACACACACGCTGGCCCTCCACTCGCTGGGGGCAGCCAGCCTGGGCTTAGGGGCAATGGGGGGCTTGGGGCCCCTGAACATGGGGTTGGGGCTGTGAAGACTATCGGGCCTGGGCAGGGAAGGAAATTTCGGTGAGGTGACTGGAGGGGGCGGACCAGCGGTCTTTGGCTTGGGAGCAACTGGTGGTTTTGGTGAATCTGAAAGGCAGAAACAGAGAAAAGAAGAAGAAGAAAGTACACTTTAGTTTCTTTCCATTCAGGGGTTCTACGTGCCATTTGCGAGGGAAAGACGGAAGATAAGCCCCCAGCCCATGAGAACCCAGCGTACTGCGTGGCAGCGCAGGCTCGTCCCTTCCATCGTGATCTCCAAAACTCCTTGACTGCCCACGAAAGATCACTCTGTAAACAAGGCAAGCAGATCCTTCTCTATACACAGTCCAACTAATGAAAATCAAACGGATGGAATCTTGCCCTCGATAAAGTGTCCGGATCACTGTATTCATTCATCCAGCAGGCATTTAGGAAACATGTTCTATGTGCCAAGCAACCGCTAGAAAAGGCTGGCTTGATGGTTATTGTCCCTGTGGCCCTCTCAGAGCCGACATTCATTCGACTGCTAGGTCACTGGCTACCAGCCATCTGCGGGCACGGCACTGCAGATCTTAGGGTCTCCCGGGGCCAAGAAGAGAAGACTGCATCTGCTGAGCACTCACAGATGAGTCAGAACAACTGGAGGATGGAGCTGTAGACCCTTAGAACATTACGACTGAACAGCCGTCGTCTCGTCCCTTCAAGGTCTGAAGCAGTGATGTGTGCTTCTGCTGAGGGTCACGTCTGAAATCCACATGATTCAAGACTGTGCCCAGCTGGCCCTACAACCCAAACTTCACGGGTGTGCACATTTCATGGGAGAAATTATACGGTATTTGCCAACATGGATATTTGCAAAAGGTCTAGTCCCTTGTGGATGCTGAGGACCTAATGACCATGGCAGAATAAAAGATGTGGGGTACAGACTGCACACACAACAAGAATTAGAGGAGTAGGGACTGTCATGGCCAGGGAAGACCTCTCGGAGAAGGTGATACTGCAGTTAAAAGATGTGAAGGATCAGGACAAGGGGAAGGGCCAAGGGAGTAACTGCCATCTTCCAGTCTCAGCATCTCTCTGCCACAAGCCAGCCTGCACTCCTCCCTGGCCTTCCTGCCTCCTGCCTGCCCCCTTCCACACTGCGGGCACGAATGCAATTCCACTCAACTTCAAAAGTGCTGCCTGGAGGCCCAGTGCCCACGGGACAGGGCGCCCGTGTTTCCCCTTCAGCCTCCTCTCAACTCCCCGTTCCATCCCACCAAGGCTTGGGTACAACACAGCACGGCCTCACAATGCCCGTCTGGCTCATGACAGGAGGGGAGACGGAGCAGAGGGCCCACAAGTCCCTGGCAGCAAACTCTTCCCTTCCCACGTGTGTGCTCCTCAGCTATGGCCTGGCCGCACCAACCCACTCTTGCTAACCTGGGGCTGCCCAACCGAGACGGCATGTAAGCCACGCGTATGACCACGTAGGGAATTTGTAATTTTCTCACGGTCACATTAAAAAGTAAAAGAGAAATGGGGGAGAGTGATTTTGACAATATATTTCATTCTATTCAATCGATCCAAATATTATCAATTCAATATGTAATCAGTATGCAAAATTCATTCATGAGACATTTGACATTCTTTCTTCCCAGGGAGTCTTCCAGGTCCAATATGCATTTTACATCTGTTGCACATCTCGGTGCAGACCAGCCACATCTCGAGTGTTCGGTAGCCACGTGTGGCTAGTGGCTGTGGAACTGTCCAGCACAGCTCTTATTCTGGACACTTCCACAGAACTGTCTCACCAGCACCTCCATTTCAATGTGTCTGAAGCCAAAGTTGATATCAATGCCAGTGACTTTATTTTTTTATTATTATTTTTTTGAGTTGGAGTCTCACTCTGTCGCCCAGACTGGAGTGCAGAGGCCGCTCCCGGCCCCCGCAGCCTCGACCTGCTAGGCTCTAGCGATCCTTCCGCCTCAGCCTTCTGAGTAGCCGGAATTACAGGCATGCGCTACCACACCCGGCTGATTTTTTGATTTATTGTAGAGATGAGGTCTTGCCGCCCAGACGGGTCTCGAACCCACAGGCTCAGGCAATCCACTCACCTCGGCCTCCCAAAGGCGTGGGATTACAGGTTGAGCCACCGAGCCCGGCTAACTTTATTTTTAATTTCTATTTTTTTAGTCAGGGTCTCACTCTGGCACCCAGACTGGCACGATTGCAGCTCACTGCAGCCTCAACCTCCTGGGCTTAGGTGACCCTTTCACCTCAGCCTCCCAAGTAGGGACTACAGGTGTGCACCACCATGCCTAGCTTTTTTTTGTTGTTGCAGAGATGAGGTCTCACTATGTTGCCTAAGCTGGTCTCGAATTCCTGGGCTCAAGCAATCCACCTACCTCAGTCTTCCAAAGTGCTGGGATTACAGGCGTGAGCCATTGCGCCCAGCCAAAGTCAATGAATTTAAAAGCTAAAGCATCCACCACATTGAACCCCTAACCCACCCCTACATACATCCAAAACAATGCCCAGGCCAGTCACTGACATCCAGAGAATAAACCAGGGTCTCCAAAAAATAAGAAGTAAACTTCCAGCTCCTTGTTTCCGTAAGCAGTTACATGTGTCCCAGTTTAGAAAAATATCTGTCCAAATTAGTGAGAAAACAAAAATGTGGAGCTCTAAAAGGTAAGTTTCAGCAACCTCTCAGGCTAACAGAGCTTGGCTAACCTGGGTTCAAACTCTGGCTTTGCCACTTACAAGCTGTGAATCTGAGCCTCAGCTTCTTCATCTGTAAAATAGATACAACACAGCACCTACTCTCAAGAGGTTACTGTAAAGATTGAAGGATATATAATATCATAAAAATACTTAATACAGGCTTCACATGAAGTACTCAATAAACAGTAGCTGTTTTTGTACAAAGTCAACCTTTGCCCACCCAAATCTTCCCTGGCGAAAGTCTTGCTTGATGCTGATGTCTTACATCCTATTAGCTTCATGCTCTTAACATTAGGTGTCAGGTTGGCATGAAATCAGTCTTTGGGGGCGGGGACTCTCATTTCTTTTCCTTAACAGGTGGCATTTCACATGGGCGCCATGAGACGTGACAGAGGGACAGATGGGCCATGAAAAACGACCGTCACCTTGGCTGCACTACCCCCCCCCATGCTTCATCCAATCAAGCTATTGATCTGTGGGCGCCATCTCTTCAGGAAAGGTTAGAGTGGGCGTCTGAGGCGTGATCCTGCAAGAAAATGCCTTCCCGCAGGTGCCCTGGGGAATGACAAGTATTCAGCCTCCATTCTGTGCTCCCAGCCCTGAAACACACAGAGCTGCACCTGCAGCCACTCTTGAGACCGAGGCATGCCAGGACCAGAAAGGTTCTGTCTGACCCCTCATTGAAGGATGAGCAAACTGAGGCACAGAGAAGGCAAGTGACTGGTGTGGGGTTACCCACTAAGTCCAGACCAGGACCCAGGTGGAACCTAGGTTTCCTACTTTCTGGTCCAGTCACCTGACCCTCTGGCTTCACTTTCTTGCCGCAGGGCATTTCCTCTACAGCGAAGACTCCGGGGTCCCAGCATCTAATGAGGCAGAGAAGAGTAAAATACAGGGGAAACTGTGGCCAGAAGGGCCAGGGGCAGCTTATATAAAGCAACTTATCTAAGGCTGGGTCCAAGACGTGGAAGAACTACCTGACCATGAGGTGAATAACTGGTTCCCATTCAATTTTCTGAGCCCAATTCCATTAAGCAAATTCTCACTGAGCACCTACTATGTACCAGGCCCTCACCTCGATTCTCTGGACACATCGACAAGCGAAACAAAGATCCTGCCCTTGGGGACTTTATATGGGGAGGTGGTAGAAGATAAACAAGGAAAAAGGTAAGTGTATTACACATGTCAGATGATGATAAGGTCTATCAGAAAGATGAGGAGGGGACAGAGGACCCAGGACAGGCCTCACTGAGAGGACACAGGAGCACAGACACGAAAGAGGCAAGGAGAGCCAGGACTCACTTGACACGCCCGAGGAACAGTAAGGAGGCCAGGGGGCTGGAGGGGAGCAAGCGAGTGGGGGAGGAGCAGCCAGGAGGCCAGACGGGCCCAGGGTGGGTGCAGTTATGCAGGGCCGTGAGGCCACGGGAGGACTTGGCCTCTGACTCAGGGTGATATGGGAAGCCACTGCAGGATTTTGAGTGGAAAGACGCTCAAAGTGCAATCGCTTGAAATGGCAAGAAAGGAGGCAGGAAGGCCAGTGAGCAGCTCTTGCAATAACCAAGGCAAGAAAGGGTGGAGGCCTGGGCCGGGCTGGGGTGTGGAGGAGCCGGATTCTGAATGGGAGGGCAGAGCTGAGGGGGCCTGCTGACTGTCTGGACATGGGTGTAGAGGAAGACAGAGGGCAAGGACGACACCAGGGTTTTGAGTCTGAGCGGCCAAGTAGACAGGGAAGCCTGCAGGGGCTGGGGGCAGGAGGAGGCCAGAATTCCAGTGTGCACGTGTCAAATATGAGTTACCTGTCACACACCTTGGTGGATACAAGGGGGACCCCAAAACCCTGAAATTTATGTATAAATTTATTTATAAAAGGTTGTATATTTATTCATGTTTAAAGTTGTCACCTTCAAAGTATTCTTTGTTTGATGCAATACACCTTTTTCCACCACTCAAGATAGTTTTTTAACTCGTCAATTTCGATGCCTTTTAGTGTCTTTTTGTTTCACCTCTTTCACGTCGGCAAAAGTCGCTCAGGGTGAGATTGGGTGAATAAGGAGAGTGGGACACAGGAGTCATGCGGTTTGTGGTAAAAAAAAAAAACACTGAACAATCAGTTCAGTCTGGGCAGGTGCATTGTCATGGTGGAAGAACCAGTCACCTGTTTGTCACAACTCAGGACGTTTATTCTGCAAATTGTAACGCAACCTTCTCAAAACTTCCAGATAAAAACTTTGGTTGATCATTTGGTCCAAAGGAACAAATTCCAAGTATACCACAAGAGGTCCA